TTTCATTATGTAAATCTAAAGATTTTTGTTCCCTGGATTCCGGTCATGGTGGGAAGTAAATGAAACATGCAATTCCTTCCTGGCTCCTCATAGCAGAACATTATATTCTTCTTTAATCTACCAGTATTAGTCTGTTTTGTTTCCATTCTCAGTTTAGCAAAAATGTAACCCGTTGTGAGATAACATTGATTATTTTTTAATAATAAACACAGGTGCAGTAAAGCCTTTAGATCAGCTGTCACAATGCCTACATAAGCGACACAGCCATCCTTCAAAGCAAAATAAGTCCTTTGATAATTGCTTCATTTGAGCTCCACCTTTCTCTCCAGTTACATATAAGCAACAAAATAGCTGTCAACTCCTACACTCATCCAAATGCCTTATTTAATTAGATTTTGGTTTACAGCATAACTAGTTTCCAAGGTTAAATTTGAAAGGGTAAATAACCGACAATTAACAAAAATTAAAAGGAAAAGGAACTAGGAGGCTGTAGGCAGGGTTTGCAGGAGGAGTAGGAATCATGTGGGTAATTAATGAGACTGTTTTGCCATCACTCCTAGCTTAAGCCACAGAAGGCAAGGTCAGCTCCTGTGTGTAACCTAATTCAGAGGAGCCGAAGTTCAGTAGGAAAGCAAACAAGCCATATAAACACTTTAGTTAATTGTTCAGTCAAAACTCGGTCTTTAAATCACATGGAACACAGACAATTTAAATGTAAAATGTACTGCATCATGTATTTATAAAAGGAGTACATTTTGGTCAGAGATGCTCTCTGAAAAACACCATAAGAAGCTCTGTTGGAGTTCCCAAGATTATGTTATTTCTAAAAGCAGCCATCTAAACACGAACATAGCATTAGCCATGGGAAAATTTAGGTATTGCTCTTAGGCATGTTAGGTTAAATCGACAGTTTACTAAGTTCCAAACCCCACCTAGAGAAGAGATTTGAAACCATTCGTTTTCTTGCCCAGAAATGTTGGTTAGTAGAATAGCTGGAAAAAAAGTTTTACATTCACCAAAAAAAAAAAAAAAGAATATACAGGAATAATACTGAATCCCTATACATGTGAAAATAATGTGATCTACATATCGAAATGTTTGAATGAATTAAAAAATATATATTTTCTAACAGTTTACTGGAGTCTTAAAAAGCTGCTATTATGTGTTTTGTGAGATTTTTTAAATCATGTTGATCTTTGAAAACCATTTCGAGATTCTCCCATGCTCTCACTCTTTGATATCTAACAACAGAATGTTCACAGGCTACAAAAATGCATCTTTCCCGTGCAGCTCTGCCCAGGTTTTTCTGCGATACGTGTTACATTCCTTCTTTCATTTGCCACCCCCAGAAAGCTTGCCAGAGTAGGAACACAGTAATCAAACACCAGAGAGCACCAACAGCGAGCTTGAAGTACACTTTCACCAGAACAGCAACAAAGACCTACTGCACATGGCAGCGAGCTGGGAACTCCCAGCGCTTGGGATGCAGCTGAGCGCAGAAGAAGGAAGGATGGAAGATGACCTGGGCTCCTTCACAACTGTCTCCCAACTCCAGCTTTCCCCCAGCTATCCTCCTCTCCTGTAATAGCATTCGTTGTTGCAAATGCTACTCTCCATATACAGCTTAGCTGCACTATAGTGCCAAAGGTTTGAATCAGGCCTCATGAGAAACAACTGCTTATTTTCCAAAACTTTCATATTTAAAAAATCTAAGAAATAAGTATTTAAAACATAATATGCTTTAAAATAGGCAGTTTATAAATTAAAATTGAAATATGAAAGCCACTTCTTTCAACTAACATGAATATATACAGGTTATAAGCCAGCTTGTACATTACTAAGCTTAAATCTGAAAGTTCTTTTCTGCTTTTTTAAAAAAGTCCCAGTGACAACAGAATTACATCTGACAGAACTGATCTCCTTTCAAACTGCTACTCAAACCCTTCTGCATGCTATATACATTCATATAATTGCACCATTCAAAAACGCCAAATCATTCAATGCCAAAACTGAGTTTTTTCTTTTTGCACCCTAATTACCAAAATCCTATGAGTCCCTCTTATTGATACTTACCAATAAACTGTTAAATATATTTAAAGAATATAAACCAAAAAGATTACATTGGTCTTAAGCAAACACCACTTGACGGCAGCTACTTGCCCATATTATGAGATACCTACAGTCATTTTCTGCTTGGTTATTTTGAAAATACCGTGTATGTGCACTCTGATACATCACAAAACAAAAATTTGATTTTTTTCCTTAAAAAGCTCATTAACTAATTGCAATACAAGAAAAAAAGGCAAATAGAAGAAACATTTGGATGCACATGGTTTTGTTCATATACCAAAGTACTGAAATACATCTTTTATTTACAAAAGTAACATCAATGTAACAAATGTATCCTTTACATGTGTAATGCATTAGCAAAGCACAACAGGAACACCTAAACGCAATAGCTGGCATCGGGCAACTTTTATATATCCTAAATAAGTTACTAAGCCACTGAACTTTCCAAAAAAAAAAAAAAAAGACTGAGATGAAGAACATTTGAACTAATCTGCCCTTTTTCACTTCCTCCCCCCCCCAATTATGGAACGCATTCATTTTACATACAAACCAATCTGAGTCTTACAAACCTTACTTTGTATAATAGCTTCTTTTCAATACATATTAAAATTATAATATATGCATTACACATTTAGTGACAGAATGACATAGCCTTGACAACCTAATGAACTCAATTGAAGTATCTGCCATGTCATCTAATTCACAATTCTATTATAAAATGCAAGTGAAGATGGCATCACAAGTTTTATGTTGATGTGGAGTCTGCATGAGCTGACTCCCGTTCAGATTTGCTCAGTTAAGTATTAAAGCATTTTCTACCTTGCTTAAACAACTACACACTTGAGCACTGAAAATTAAGCTTAGATTAAAAAAATAAGCCTTCTCACTTATTGCCAATAATAAAGATTCTGTTGACCACAGTCCCCGGACAGGTCTAAGGATTAACTGGGTTATGTAAGTGATTAGCCAAGGTTAAAATAATCAGGTACTGAAGTTAAAAGCAAGAGCAACATTTGTCCTTCCCTGGTTACTGGAGTTAAAGAGAAAAGAGTAAGGGAAAATTTGTATCTAATTGCGCTTTTGCTGGCACAGTTTATTTCAAGGGGGGGGGGGGTACACACACAACTGAAATAAGCTACAATGTTACAAGTAGTTTTGATAAAGTAAAGCAAGGCCATATTAGGATCACTGCCTGTATGAAATACTACTGTCTAAGCAAGCTATCACTAGCTTGTACCTGATTTCAGTGTTTCAGCTGAACTTTAAAGTTATAATTTTTAATTTCCCTGTGCCTTAAATGTCTGACAGGCCATTTTTTCATTTCCTTTTAGAACAGACCCCGTGCATAAGGCAAGTTACAAAAGTAAGTACCTTGTTACATGCTTCAGCAACACTTTCTTAGCGTCTTTGCAAACTAGTGCCACAACCTATTTTTCCAAATTCCTTAAAGTTATATGCATTCCCCTGTGAACCACACAGTAACATCAAAACTACTAAGAAAGCCTCCAGGAACTTATCCCAGAGTCCTGTGCCATTCATTTTTACCGCTACCTGTTTGTTGATATTTTAATAGAAATTGTACCTCACACAGAATGACTACTACGTAGATCCTTCTTTGCTTAGCTTACTGCATTAGCGTTCTAAGGTAGGCGCATCTACACAACTCACGATGTACCTGAAGCTGGTCATTTTAAAAGACCCAAAAGGAAAAAGAATACTTTTTTGAAGTTCAGTTATTGACAACTTTTTGAGTGAATTCATCATATCCCATCAAAAACATGAGCATTCTTGATGAAAGTTTTGAATGAGTCAAGCACACTGACGCTTAGTAATGACACAATGTTTGCAGTTTAGAGTCCAATATAGTAGCAGTTTTCCCCTCAACTACCCGTTTCTCATAAATATATTTATTTGGGTATCTTTGTCTTGTTCGCACCTCAGAATTAAGCTTTCAAGAGATTCACTAACATTAAGTAACAGTGGATTGGCAAGGTTGTATTACCCTCCTCATTTGACCCCTTAAGGAAAACCATCATTGCATGTGAAGAAAACAGGAAAAACTCTGCATTTAGCAGTTCAGTATTTTGGAAATTTAGAAGTATTTATTTAAATCTACTATTTGCACCACAGGATGCAAATAATAATCAGTGCCAAATATACACATTACCAGTCCTGCAGCTCTTTATCAGAATAAGATGTTCAATTACGACTGCTCCATTTCAGCCACTTTGTTCAATTTTTTGATTCTGATTTTAATTCAGGACTGTTCTGCTAACTAAAGATTGACTTCCAGTGTTACTGGAAGTATTTTTATAAAAAAACATATATATAAAAATACACACACAGACACACAAACGGGAACGTGCTGTTAACGAATTGCCAAGGCATTTCAGTCTTAACTAAAACACTGTGGTTCTTTATGACTTTACCTCTGTGTAAGTAATAAAAGGATTGCAGAGATACCAGTGGCAACAGGGCAAAACTAAATAAAACGAGCTTGGGAATGACAGCATAACAGCAGTTCCCAATTACAAAGTGCAAGTGCGCATGGCCCAGGAGCGATTTGGCTCATCACAACCACTGACGCTACTGGCTTACATCCAAGGTTTGGGAACCCCTCTTCTGAGATGTATTAATACACAAAAATGTTCCTCATTAGCAAAGATATATGCAAAAGATCTCTTAAAACTACAAAAGAATTAAAAACATTAACCTTTCATTTAATGTTTAGATTGCTTTAACACATTCAAAGAGAATAGAATTATTAGCTATTCATATTTGTAAAGTACCACGGTACTTTACCTGACCCTTCTTCCCCTCTCATTTATTGGGGAGACAAAGGCAGAGAAGCTAAATAAAGGGTCTTGGGCATCAATTTGCAATTCTTCACTATACCAGCAACAGAGAGGGTAGGAAAGAAAGAGCACAAGTAAAATTATATTCTTTATTCATTCCATTTTAGCTGAGAATATTCCTATTATACAAATACAGTATAAATTCCAAAAATCACAATATATTACAAAATAAAAAAGTACAAACTGCATTACTTAATAAATATATCTAACAAGTTAATCAGAAATTAGAAGCGACAGAAATCAGATTGGAAACATCTAAATGTTTGACCCAGCAAACCATACAAATCTCAAATACTCTTTTTAAGTCATAATGTAGAATACCATTCCTGATTTCTTGATTAGAAAGTAACATCAAAGGAATAAAATGTTGTGATCAGAAGAGGACTTGTGGGTGCAACACAAGTGCCAAAACAGAAGCAGGGCTTATACAAAAGACACCATAACCTCAGAAGCAGGAACACAAACACTGAGGTGCAGCCAAGGCAATTATTGCCAGAGCAGCAGACTATTATCTAGTCACAACATTCTATTGCAAGTTAATGTTCTGTTATTACACATAAATAATACAAATGGAACAGAGGGTGAGCCAACCAGGCAACAAGAGGCCAGTTTACTCAAAACAGTAATTAAATACCGAAGAATCAATTGCTCCCTGTACAGTTCATGTATAGCTGGATTCCAACTGGCTCAAAGGACCTGTTCTGTGCTCAAGGCAGAGAAAACAACTGTTTCGAAAAGCAGTCTTTTCATACTTTGCTGCACTTTTACAAAAACTATTGTTTAGCTTTACAAAAAAAAAAGTTTTCATCAATTAAGGAGGGTCAGTCTGACATCAATTTCATTTGGTAGAAATATAAGGTTTATGGGTAAAAAACACAGCAGAAAATAGCTGTTACATCATAAGCCTTATTTACAAAACAAACAGTTTACAAACGTTTTTGGCTCAACAGCTGAAAGCCAGATGCTAACGTGAGATGTAGAAGATGGAAGTAACAGTTTAAAAATACTGTGCAAAAAAATACATTCTTATAGAAAATAGAGAAACAGTGGCGAGGGGAGACACAAACATACACGGAGAATCTGCTCGCAAATAATCCGAGGCTAACTTTATACAACAACAGAATATTACAAATACGTTTGGATTTATCCCCCTCCCAGTCTGCATTTCTTCTCAGTCTGGGTACTGCTGCTTTATTAAGGTTTAAGGCATCGCCATCACAGCCAGTGCACCTTCTCTCTGTCTCTGTGCCAGCAGCAAAGCTCCCAGCCTGTAGGCCAGGTGGTCTCAAGAGCAAGCGTTCTGCTCAATGTACATCTTGGAGAGGGACACTGCCATGGACTTGGCCAGCTCCTCATCCCGTCTACGCTGTACCTGAGTCTGTCTGCACCACGCCTCATACTCCGGGTTGGGGCACGCGCGCTCCAGCACAGCATCGTAGTGCCCATTGCTAAGCCAGCTCAGCCAGATACTGGGCCGTGTCGGGTCCTCGGGCCCCAGGTAGTGAACCATGGTGGAAACGGTGGGGCTCTCCGGCCTGCCGCCCGTGGTGAGGTGGATGTTCACGTTCAGCATCTGCCCCATGGCCAGCAGCTCCGGGTAGCCGGCCCAGGCGCCGTCCTGGGCGGCGCCGATGAGGAACTCCCCCACGTCGCCCTCGATGATAGGGCTGAAGTGATCCAGGTGGTCGGCGATGTAGTGCACCGTCTGCTCGCGGAGCTCGCCGTGCAGCCGCTGGTCCCCGTACACCGCCTTGCAGACGGCGCGGTAGAGGCAGGTGCCGCCGGGGGGGATGTGGGAGCCGGAGCAG